ACATACCGAGGCTCCATTTCCCTTCACAGTCTTCGACTTCACCTCTCCATCTTCTCCCATTTCGTGAAGGGCGAACACTTTGCTTTCACTCCACCGACAAACTATAATTTAAAAGCTTTCCCGAAGAAAACTCGATTTAAAAGAACATAGGAGCCTGTGAAAATTCTCTAAATTAAAAAAAAAATTGCATCTGATTGGGCCGCAATTCTTAATCCACCCAATTTCTTGCGGAAGTGAGATTTAAAAGGGATCCATCTAATTACAAATGTTTTGTGGTTCAGGACCGAATTTCCACAGATGCTACAGATTACTTATTTCATTACTGCTGGCAGATCTCTTACTTGCACGGAATCATAAGAAATCTCACCTGGACCGACAGTTCGACGCTCAACTACTTGCCCAACGACCTCGTTATCCTTGATACCCTTCAGCAGTGCCACAGGATCCTGGAGCAGATCTTTTCAAAGACTGATGAGCTAAGCATATTTCTTACTCACTTGAGACCACCTGTTCTTCTTGTCCAAGGAATACATGAGGCCAGGGTAGTAGTTGTCAGCGCATCCATGAAGAACACGAGCTTTGCGTCTCTGTAATGATAGTTAACCATATCAGTATGTCATTTTAAGTCAGTTCAAGGGTCATAGGATTAGCTGTTCCGAATATATGAAAATTTCATTAGTCAGCTTTTCTTTTTCGCTCTATTGTTTGAAAACTGTTGCGCGGAGTTTCATCAAGTTGCACAGAATCAGGATGAGCGCGGAAAAAAAATCGGTAGGGCCAATATGTACAAAATAAACGAAATGTTTAAAACAAGAAGATTTGGAATTCAATAATCAAACAAAGATTATTTGAAGATACCAATTTTGTTTGTTCACACTTCTAAAACTTCGAAATTATTTTTACTACCATACTGTTCAGTCTTCTTTCAAAGAAAAATTGTGGAATTGAATGACGTACGCGTATTCAAACGGATCAAGTGGAAAGTACTTTACAGTCAACAAAGAAAGTTTAATTTTGTGTAAATTAGAAGAGAGTGCAAGGATTTAGCGATAGGAAATAGAAGCGTAGACGTGTGCAAAAATGGGTATAAAAAATATGAAGTAAATCTGAACAATAAGAACTCCCATTGGGAAAGGAAGTTACCCAAATTCACCTTTCCCATAGC